TACATATAGATAAATGAACAGACATACTTTTATAATGGGATGGCAGTGCATGACAGATCTCATGAAGTTTGTACTAATGCGCACATTACTATCGGACTCTAAAGTAACGGTTATGGTACAGACTTTATTATGAGCATTATGCTAATTAGTCGAGCTGTATTGAACATTAACACCGGTTGCAGAGGCTGCTTTACGTTATTTAATTATTACCTAATTATTGACAAATGGTAACAGATTTTTGCAAATTTCATTTTATTTTTCTGTATGCATTTTTGTTTTAACTTTAATAAATTGTAATTTTTCCGAAGGAATTATGTGATTTATTATCTATCTATCTAGATCTATCTATCTTAGTATCTATCTATCTCTGGATACTCACTTATTCTCACGCGAATTGTGAAATTGATGTCGCTGCACACTCTGAACATAATCGATTCAGAAAAACTTGCTTTTTGATAGCTAACGTGCAAAAAGTAAATAAGGGAATTTTTTGATCCATAGACTTCATTGATAACACATTCGATACCAAAATTTTATGAGGGAAGCAATTGGTAAATGTAATGTTCGAGACTGTCGCCATTTTGGATTATTCGTGTTTGAGCTAGTGTAACCCCAAAAACCAATACAATTCCGACAAAAAATTAATTTGTGCAGGATTAGGTATGTCTTCTTATCTGTTTTCGAAGCTTGACCCACTTGAAAAGACTGATCTTTGTCAAATGTAGAATGTTTTAGAACTGTCGCCAAAATTTACTGGCATAGGTAATGTACGCGACTTGTAAATTAAGTGCCGCACATAACTGAAAATAAGTTAGTAATCTAAGTCGTTTATATGCTTATTTACAATTAAGTACTTATGCTACTATAGCCAGACTTATCTTTCTTATGATAAATTCTAAGAATTAACCGAGATTCTATTACTTTGACAGCCTGTGCCAGATGATGACTTAAGCATGTAATGTTCGCTACTTAAAAATTAGTACGTTCTATGCACTATTTCCCAAATAAGGAATTTTTAATAAATGATTTACATTTGGAGGGATATATAATAACCAAATCTTAAAGAATTGTACCCATGAATCTTTTTATATATCTATATACACATATGTCTGTAATGTACGCGACTGTAATGTTCAATACAATAAAAATGTAACATGGCTTTAGTATACTTAATTTTCAATTAACCAGGACTTAAACTAGTCATTTTTGTGTTATACTTAATCATAGATGCAGCATAAATGTATACATCCTTGTATTTTCTACAGTTATAATCAAATTTTCTTAATTTTGTATAAGTAAGGCTTTAGAATCTAGTAACTGAATATCAGATTCTAGTAACTACAAAAACAAAGATGTATTGCGTTTAATATTTATTTTCTTCTAAAGCTAGAACCTGTATGCAAGGTTTTCTTACTGAAATTGTTTAGATATAGATTATAAGTGATATGCCTTTCATAATAGGTATTGTAATGTTCACTACATTTCGTATCGAACATTACGGAATTATTCTGATGGCAATCTATACATTTGTTAATGTTTTCAGCGGTTTTGCTTTTGTTTTGAGGAAATATTCCATAATTATATATTGTTTAAATAAAGTAAAAAGGTGTTTGTAATTTAAATGCGTAAATATATATAAGGCAATATTGTTGATTATCATCTAAATCAGTTTCAAACCCTAATAACGTTTCACCGCGTTAGTAAAAAAACTACTATTATAAACATACATATAATAACTGAAAATATTATCAGATACTATAAACATAGTTGCTGACATGTTTAAAATATATCATCTACAATATTATACACATGATAGCGTCTACAACATATAACAACGATGTATCAAACATTACAATATTAGTATCGAACATTACACGCAGATCTTGAAAAATTTCTTCATCTCTACAGTCATAATATGGTTAAATATGTATTAGAAATAAATAATAATTGCACTTACAAGTGTAGAAGAGGAAAAGACAATGTTGGCTCTTTGTAATTGAAATATTTTAAACTACGTAGGAAGCACATAATAATTAACAATTAAAATACATTTTATCTCAATATTGGCTAGTAAGGTGTCTATTTTGAAATGTTCTGTTCAAATCTTAAAATTTGATGTAGCCTTAATAATATCAAAGGCATGAATTGTAATATATGTATTGTTATTCTGTACGCTGCATATATGCCCACGATCTCAGTAAATATGTTTTATGACATTGATATTAATATAAGAACAGGTATATAACTTCTTTTGTATGCCGGATACATAGTTATACTCGTAATTTAATTCGTTTGTGCAATATTATTTACCCATGCTATTAACTCAAGCTTAAATGAACACACTTAATAATATTAAGTCTAAACTTAAAAAATTATTGTATAATAAAATGATGATAATAATAACTATTACTATTACCCACAACGAATATTTTTACTGGATTACGTAATGTCCGAGACAATTGATGTTCTGTCAAACAGACTGTAACCACAAAATTTTAGTCATGTATTTTGTTTGCAAAGTTTTTTTCCGTCATATTATCATTATTGAAGTAATGTTTAAACAAAACATAAGAACAAATAAATGGAATCATACAAATGAAATCAATCATCAAAAATTCCACATTTTAAATAAACGTACTTTTGTAGAATTGCGTTTTATCGCGATAACTTTGCAAGCTCAAGAAAAAAATATTTCAAGCGTTTCATAGTGAAATATTTTGTTATTTTATAAATGTAATGAATACATGGCAAAAATAAAGTTCTCGGAAGTGGATATGTTTAATATTTCTTATGAAATTCGGAATGTTTTAATTAATAAACTGATAGTAGCGTACATTACAATAGGATAAATTTGACAACTAGGGTTGCTTCTTTCAGAGAGTAGTACTCGCAAAGTATTTGGTTGATGTTCAAAATATTTCACAATTGTCTCATTTAAGGGTTCTACTTTTCGAAATCTTTGAAAATAGGCCCTATTAAGGAGATCGATTTTTTCGACTTTTGATCTGTCAATTTCACAATTCTTATGAGAATCAGTGACTACTGCCAATCCCTCTTGGCAGGAAGTAAGTGCACCTCGGATTGTTAGTAAAGAGTGAAAAGAAAAGCTAAAAAAACAAAAGTCCAAGCATTATAAACATGCTAGGAAGGCGAGACTGAAAATGTATTCTAGTCATGGTTAAAATATTAATAGTGAAAACAAGATAAGTGATAAAATAGTTTAAAAACACTGGGTCCGGGAGAAAGACTAGTAGTACTACTGCAAGGGTATAGATGGATATTGAAAATAAGCTATTTTTCGCGAAAATAAGATTGCGGTTACGAAAATAAGATTTATTTTTTAAATAGTGCATTTGTCAGTTGAAATAATTATGTTAGTTATCTATTTATGCATTCATTGAATGATTTTACAGCAAATTAAAATTTCAGAACCCAAAAATTTTTTTTAAAAAGTGAAGTTTAAGCCGAAAAATACTATCATACAAAATAGCTCAAATTGCGGTGTAAAGCGAAAATAAGATCGGGTCTACGAAAATAAGATTTATTTTTGATATAATGTATTAAAAACATATTTTTGTTTTGTTTGAAAGACCAAACTCCCTCTTTTTTTCCGGCAGTATGGCAGTAACTCCACGATCTTGGATCTCATGTTAATTTAATCAAAATCAATTTTATTTACAAAAATATTTTTAAAATGATATCATTTACGGATATTGTATATATTTTATAAACAATATAAGAAAGTTGTTTAAAAATTCAATTTCATAAATAACAAAATTACAGGCTGATTCCGGTAATTTCTAGTTGATTCTGGCACAGAGCTATATTTAAATGGAGAGGAAGCTATGAAGTCCCACACTTAAAATCTGTATCAAGGATTTATTATCATGAAAGTTCACATTTTTTCGAGATTTTCTGAGACCATATTTGACATATGAAATTTTACAGATACATACATATATGTACGCCACCATGTAATCTAAAATTTATTATGGTAATCAAAAAAAGTTGCAAAAATGTATAGAAAAGCATTGTGGGTCAGGATTTGAAAATTTTCTATTTTTAGAGCTACTTATCGCTGTAATAAAAATCTCTGATTCCAGTAATTCCATCAATTCTGGTTAGTCAAGAAACCCTTATGTGGAAGCTGAATGTGCCTCTACATTGACCAAAAGTAATCTATGAAAAGCATCTGCACGACCCACGAGTATAAAGTCTTAAGACATTGTTGACAAATTGCGAAAAGGAATGCAATGTTTTGGCTGAAAGAAATTTTTGACAGGAAGCTCAGCAGGGGTCTAGGCTCCAATAAATAAGGATTTATTGACTTACATTAATCTTATGCCAGTTTTTGTTAATATTCTACTTTCAATGTGCATCTTTTGATAGAATTCTTTTAGGCCAGGGTGTGGGGTTGCTTCAGCCCCTTAAAGTCACTGCTGTACTATTGCTGTACCTGTATTGGTTAAATTAAGTGTATAGATATTGTGCTATTTGTGTATGGGCAAGGAAGATTCTGACCAGGAAAAAAATGTCCCAGAATCTAGCGTTGGCACATGGAAATCTTTTGACTAAGTTGGTGTCACAGCTGGTTTGAACATACATTTATTAGGAACACCACTGTGGTCCAAAACTTAAGTCAAAAGCCTAAAAAACATGAAATTTGAAGTTCTTACATAGTTCAGGTTGGGCATTTTAAACTGGAAGATATGCAAAAAATAAGTAAGAATATAATGAGAAATTAATTGAAATGTTTTTGTGCTATATCTATCGTTATCACCGGGTTTAAACAAACATAGTATGAAACATTAATCTCAAAGAATTTATATCCAGTCCCATGGTGTTAAAAAATGTCAGTTGAGTTTCTTTAAGATAAATATTTTTATGCAATATTACATTATTTCTGATAGTATACTCTGTAAATGTAAACCATATAAATTCCATAACCAATGTAAATTGAATGTGTTCATATCTATAATCTTTTTACTTTATTTTCAGGTTAACTAAAAGCAGAGTGCAAAGTTATTTCTTACGCAGTTGGTAAACAAAAGGGCATAAATATGTTCATACTGCAGTATATGGTTATAACAGTTTTATTTTCACTTTATTCTTGTGAAAATATCCATATTGGTGCAGTATTGAGCAGTAAAGATAACCAGTACCTGCTAAATGACTATGTGGAAAAGGCGTCTGCTAGAAAAACAAGCAAAGCTATAGATCTGACCTTCAATGCTTCATCCTTACTGATGGACAGTAACCCTGTTAGGTCTGCATTATCAATCTGTGATAATTTGATAACAAAGAGGGTGCATGTGATAATTGCAAGTCACCCACCATCTAGTGGGCAGTCTCCAATATCGGTGTCATATACATGCGGTTACTATGGCATTCCACTTATAGGCATCTATGCGAGAGATAGTGCCTTTTCAGACAAGGTATTATTTTAATATTTGAAATTTTAATAATCAAGTATTGAAAATGATTAGAATGAAATTGATTTCATTTGATCATATTTTATGATCTTTATCAATAATATCCGAGAAATACCCGAGAAATACTTAAGTGGATGTAAGTATTGAAGTGAAATTGGTATAATTAAGACACATGGGCTTTGGAGAATTATTGATCAGTGTAGCGTTTTACTTATATGAAGGATATATCTTTAAGTTGAAACCTTCAAAGTATTTTCACTTTACACATATGTATTTTTGGAAGGTAATTTGGGTATTAAAGTGTTAAAGTTCTGGAAAAGCCTGCTGCTTACAGCAATTGTCATACAATGTTATATGAAGCTGTAGTTTGTGTTGGGTTAACAAATTCTGTATGCATGATGTATGCATAATTGACATTCAGATCATTTGATTGGTACCCATGAGGCATGATCGTCATAATTAGATAATGTGTCATGTGTAAGACAAAGGTTCAAGGTCACAGTTATTACAGATACTGGATACAGAATTCCTTATATAGTACATATTATGTCAATAGTGGAAATATCCTGAAATATTGGATTTTTAGTAATGAAAATTCTTACTAAACTTTTGGTTTAATCATAGATTTTTTTTGTTATATTTAGTATGAAGTATGTATTTTGTGAAGAAATTATAACATGCACAGTTATTGTACTTCCATGATAATATATGAACTTCCTATTCTAACAACAATTTCAGAACGTACATCCAACTTTTATGAGGACAGTTCCCCCGTACTTTCATCAGGCATATGTATGGATAGATTTACTGGTTCACTATGACTGGAAACAAGTCATATTTATACACAGTATGGATGAGGAGGGTCGTTCAATACTCAGCAAATTCCAGGCACTCGCAGAAGAACAAGAAATTAAGGTACATAAATATCTAAACTTGTTTCTATTCAAACAAGGATAAAATTTTTTATCCTAACATTTCCCCCTCATCATAGGTATGGATAGTTTTATAACTTTCAACAATCGTCTTCTTCTCTGAAACCGCTGGACAGATTTACTTCAAATTTGGTCTGTAGCATCCTTGTGACAGTCACACTTGAATTTGCTCATGCCATTTCAATTGGCCCAGGGGTCAACAGAGCTTAAAAAGGAAAAACCTTTAAACATCTTCTTCTACAGAACTAATAGATGGATGATCACCAAACTTTGTCTGTAGCATTCTTGGGTAGTCTTTTATCAAGTTTGCTCATATTAATTTGATTGGCCCCTTTTAGGGGTCTCTAGGGCTAAAAATAGAAAAAACCTTTAGACATTTTCTTCTACAGAACTAATGGATGGATGATTACCAAACTTTGTCGGTATCATTCTTTGGTAGTCTTTTATCAAGTTTGCTCATATCAATTTGATTGGCCCCTTTTAGGGGCTGCTAAAGCTTAAAATAGAAATTACTTTAAACAGCTATATCTAGAGAACTAATTGATGGATGATCACCAAACTTTGTCTGTATCATTCTTGGGTAGTCTTTTATCAAATTTGCTCATATTAATTTGATTGGCCCCTTTTAGGGGTCTCTAGACCTAAAAATAGAAAATCATTTAGACATCTTCTTCTACAGAACCAATTGATGGATGATCACCAAACTTTGTCTGTAGCATTCTTAGGTAGTCTTTTATCAAATTTGCTCATATTAATTTGATAGGCCCCTTTTAGGGGTCAAGGGAGCTAAAAAAATGATATTAAACCTTTAGACAGCTTTTTCTACAGAACTTATTGATGGATGATCACCAAACTTTGTTATTAGCATTCTTATAGTAATCTCTTATAAAAATTGCTCATATTTATTTGATTGGCCCCTTTTAGGGACTGCTAAAGCTAAGATACCCCAGACCATGGCATTTCTTCAAATTATAGTTGAATGAAAGGGAAACAACTCATGCTGGAATTTCTTTCATACATGTGAATGACCTGCTGTTTGCTGATGAAATTATTTGAGGTCATGACCTCTTATGAAATAACTTAAGCACATTATACAAGATATATAAGAACTTAGTATCAAGCTTTATTTGTATTCATTCATATTCACTTAATTACATCACTACATGCAGTGTTTTCTCTAGAGAGCGTTTTCTGCGTTTATGACACAGTATTTTTGCATTTGATGCGGTAATATTATAGCCGTGTGTTTTCCGTGACGCATATTTTTGCGAGCGTCGTAGTATATATTTTTTTCTATAAATAGCATGAATTTCATCAGCTGATTGGTCACATGATTTATCTTAGACGCTTTAGGGATTATTACATGTTAAAAGCGCTCAGGCGCTTCAGATTGTGACGTCATTATCTGGGTAAATTCACAAATGTCTGCTTCGAAAAAAAGCAGCCAAGATTGACATTATTCTTCAATAAAGACAATGTTAACGTTGATGGAGCGACAGAATCTAGCGAAAACAACTTTGCGCCTATACCAAATAAGGTTTCCCAACCAAATCAATCGACAACTGAGAAATCCAACCAAAATGATAATGCTCCGAAGCGGTTTTTTCATAAGGAATTTTTGGTTATTAAAATGACTTGCACAGTTTGTATTACTGAAATAAACAAATCATTCACATCAGGATGCACAAACTTTAGAGTTTTTAAGTACCGTATGGTACTGGTTACGGGAGTTGACGGAAAATCGGAACTAGTGTGTTACGCTTGACAGACGCTACCAAAGCTCCATAATTTTACCGATTGGGAACATATTTGCCCTCAAATAAAAAGTTGGTTGTCCCATACTGTAAACACCTTACATATTTTGCATCTAACATTTTGTGTATTCATTTACAAAAGTTATCAAGAAAAAATGTTCCACCAAAATTAACCCTGCTATAGTGGTCATTTATCAGGTCTAGTATTTCATGATATTTATGGACTGTCCGTAAATTTATAGATAGTCTGGGACATTATCTTATATCCCAGGGATAGTCTTTTTTCAATCTCTATATTCAATGTGAAATTTGCTGTTTTTAATTTTACACTAAAATCCGCAGCTTCTGACTAGTTTTTTTATTGATTGTTTATATTTACAAAGGTAATCTGGTGAGTTTCATCTTTGTATGATGATTTTGAAATATTTAATAAAAGTGAAAATTGAAAGTCATATTGTTTTGAATCTCACCATACTGTTACATTTAATCATATACATGTAGTATGTAACCTTATTAATTTTAACCTGTGGTTTTGAATTTTAATGCAGTTTCTACTATTTTCTTACTTAATGTCTGTAAATTTACAGATACAAAAATCTGTAAAATTATGGCTCGTCCAAAAATTTACAGACTGTCTGTAAATATCATGAAATCCTAGACCTGTTTATTCTGCATTATCTTATTCTACATAGTCTCATGGAAACACACTTGCAACATAGATATTTCTAACAAAGCCTCCAAAATATTAGGGCAAAATATTTCAATTATTTAAATTAGAAGGGCAAGTAAAAGTTGAACTGCAGTCTGTGCGAAAGTCTGTCGGTCCTCGACTCCTCGGACCTCGCCAACTAAAAATAAGGAGGACCGAGATAAATTTTGATACAGTCAGTCCTCATGTCCGAATAAAATTTCAGCCAGTTTGAAATAATTTTTGGCCTAAAATATGTAAAACTTCCAAGATGACCTTTTTTTCCATTTTTGCTTGTATTCACAGACCCAGATAACCAAAATCACCACAAGATACAACCAGTTTTTGCTAAGTAATGTAAGCCACCATCTTGTCTTGGATGATTTCCTTACTAAAAAATATTTTTTCTCCAACCTATGTACCTTTCAGAGTCCGGGGCGGGAAAAATCATCAGGGCCGGAAATAAATCTAAGTATCCCAGTCCTTGTGGCTAAAATTTTTTTTTGACTGTCGCATTGACTGAGCTGGACTGGTCTTTCAGCAAGTTCTTTGAAAAATAACACTGAAAAACAGTTGTTTCTGGTGAGCGACTCGGGGCCATCATGGCCCTCTTGTTTACTTATTAGGATTTTTATAAAAAATTTACAGGACTAGTTAAATATAACATGGTCTCCAGTTTGCAATCTAACTGCTTTCCAATTTGATATTTTACCCAAATTCTTGTTTTGTCTTTTTTAGCCGATTAAAAATTTTAATCTAAAATCCATATACAATGTTTACTGTTATAGTGAAATTTGGTATTTCAGTTTTGCTATAAATGACTTCTAAGGGTAAACTTTGGTAGGGCAGGGCAACAGAAGTTTGAGCAGACCTGTAGTTTAGTTGATTTCATTGCACACTTTATAATGTAGTAACTGTTTAATATTCATTACTATACATGAACCAAGATAAGAGAGTATTTTAGAGAATTTAATATGCGTATTGTAAAAAATGATGATAGCTGGTGTTTGTTACCAAGTGAAATTGTAAATTTCAGATAGAGAAGAGTGTGAAATTTTCTGTCGGTTCCACCAATTTCACAGACCTGTTAAAAGAGCTTCCACAGCAACAGTCCCGGGTGATACTACTGTCTGCAGGGTATGTTTTGAATGGCCCTTCCTAATTTCCTGTATAAGTCAGTGTTTATTTTGTACTGAAAAAAATCTAAAGAGTTATCAATACTCTCAAATCCTTGCTGAGTACATGTATAACATCTCTATAAAGCCATTAAATAAGAAAATTGTCATTTACATGTATGTTTTAGTTTGATTTTCACATTTTAAAAGGGAATTTTGAAGGGAAATTTTGAAATTCAATTTGAAGTTTTGACAGTTTGGATAATGCATGTTTTGATTTCAATGAAAATTGGCAAAATACCTGTATTTGGCCTCTATTTTCATAATGACATGATGGAAAAGGCCTCTATTTGTGAAGTTGGGAAAATGCCTATATTTAGCCTCAATGTTATGGCAATTTGAAAAAGATCTATATTTTACCTTTATTTTTTGAAAGTTTGGAAAAGGCCTATATTTTGCCTCTGTTATATGCCCGAAAATGTCACTGTTGATAAATGAAAGACTTTAACAAGTGCTTGAGACATACTGTTCTTCTGTTGATTGAGTTTAATTCATTTGCAGTTGAATATTACAAATTAAGTCAATGATTCAGTCGTTTTAATACCAAAACACGCATTGTCCAGTTTCACAATATTAATTGTTATACCCTAAATAATCCTGAATTACCTAATACCAATGATTTATTCACAGAAAGGAAGATGCTGAAAATATCTACCGTGATGCAAGCGAGCTCGATTTGACGACAGAGACTGACTTTGTTTGGCTTGTGACAGAAGAAGCTTTACTAGCCATCAATGTACCAGTAGGTAGGTGTGTTTAATAGAGTCTGATTGGCAGATGTCTTTTCTTTGTACATTTGATGATGCTTTATCTCGGCTATTTTTAGATATATAATAGTAAATACATGAAAATAGTTATTTTTATGCCACCGCAGCATCTGCGATGCGGTAGCATATAGCGATTCACCTGTGTGTATGTGTGTGTGTTTGTGTGTGTGTTATATAGATTATATAGTGAACTTAAAAAATCTTCTTGTGAAAAACCACTAGTCCAATTTCAATCAAACTTGGCAGGATTGTTCTTTTGGTGAAGGGCTTCCAAAGTTGCTCAAAGAATTTCATTCCATGCAGAAATCTGGTTGCCATGGCAACCAAAAGGAATTATAAGAATAAATTTAAGAAATCTTCTTGTAAAGACCCAAAAGGCCTAGAGCTTAGATATTTTGCATAAGGTATTATCTGGTAGACCCTTACCAAGGTTGTTCAAATTATAGCCCTGGGGTCAAAATCGGCCCCGCCCCGGGTCATTGATTTTCGCTATATGTACATATAGTAAAAACTTAAAACACCTTCTTGTAAAGACCCAAAAGGCTTAGAGCTTAGATATTTTGCATAAGGCATTGTCTGGTAGACCTCTACCCAGATTGTTCAAATTATAGCCCTGGGGTCAAAATCGGCCCGCCCCATGGGTCATTGGTTTTCCTTCTATGTATATAGTAAAAACTTTAAAAAAATTCTTCTAGCAATTGACAATTTAAATGCTAAAGGTTAGATATTTTGCATGAAACATTGTGTTGTAAAACTCTAGCAAGATTGTTTAAATTATAGCCCTGGGGTCAAAATTTTCCCCGCCCTGGGGGTCATTGATTTCAATATAATTATACATATAGTAAAAAATAAAAAAATCTTATTGTCTGAAGATACAAGGCTTAGAGCTTTAATATTTGTTAAATAATATCATCTAAAGGTACTCTACCAAAGTTGTTCAATTTTGCCTCTTGTGTCAAAATTAGCCCCGCCCGTGGGAGCCATAGGTTTATCCTATATGTATATAGTTAAAACTTAAAAAATCATCTTCTCTAAATTTACAAAGGATAAAGTTAAGATATTTTGCATGAAACATTGTGTAGTGAACCTCTAGCAAGATTGTTCAAATTATAGCATTGGGGTCAAAATTGGTTCAGCCCCGGGGTCATTGATTTTCATTATGTACATATAGTGAAAAAAAAAAATTTTTGTCTGAAGGTTCAAGGCATAGAGCTTTGATGTTTGATATATATCATCTATAGGTCCTCTACCAAAGTTGTTCAAATGTCAAAAATTGGCCCTGCCCGGGGGCAGTGATTCTCATTATGTACACATAGTAAAAACAGAAAATAAAACAAATGTTTTCTGAATGGGAGAAAGCTATAGCTTAGATATTTGACTTGAAATGTTGTTTGGTGGACCTGTATCAAGATTGTTATTAAACCCTTGGGTCAAAATTATGCCTTGCCAAGGGGACAGTGACCTACTTTCTTGTCCTTTGATGTACAGCAATGACATTTTGACCATGTGCACAGTTTTAGTTGTAAAATTGAACTTTGACCTAGATTTTGATGATGTGACCTACTTTCTTGTCCTTTGATGTACAGCTATGAAATTTGAACCATGCGGTGGCATAGCATTTTTCTCAAATGCAATCTTGTTAGATTTGCAAGCCTTGTCAGATTCCACCTGTGAGAAAGCTATCCAGCTAACTTACGGAAACATGGATGGTTCTACACAGGCCCATTTTTTTGTGCCTGAAAAAATTTACAGAGGGGCACTTGAGGTTATCCTCCACCAGTAAAGCTGGAAAAAACCTGATTTAATCTGTTATGTGTTGGTGCAATGTAAAACCAAACAAACAAAAAAATGGCTCATTAGATTCACTGTTCATGATCATTTGTAAAGTTTTTCTTACCCAGGGATTGAACCAGTGCACCCCCCTCTAGATTACATATCCCATGCTCTCCCTATTGAGCTAAGCTGGCGAACGGACATACATTCCACAGGGTTAAGATGAATTACTATATTACTATATATATTGTGATATTACAGGTGTGATTGGATTACAACTGATAAATGGGTCTAATGAGGCAGCCCATCTAGAAGACAGTGTTAGCCTGATTGCTGATACAGTCACTGAACTGTTCCTAGGTGGTAACTTAACACTAACAGAGACACCAAGAAACTGTAGTAGACAAGTCGCCGCTGAGGATGAAAGATGGGAACAGGGCGTTAATTTACTTGAGTAAGATTTTAAAAATTTTTTACAAACTTTAGCTATCTAACAGCAGCTACAAACTTAAGCTAACTGACAGCAGCTAAAGATTTTATATAAGAGCTTAATTTGGCTGTCTATTTATGTGAATTTTCCTGGCAATATGAAGTTTCTAAAAGAGCAAGCCAGCAAATATTAGCATATTTATTATTTTCCTATAAATATACATAAATTGTATTATAATTTTACAATTTTTGCAATATTTTGAATTATTTTGGAAATACTTGTCATTGATTTTTCACCTTTCACCAAATATTCTTTTAAGTTTGTATTATCATTCATCTAATATTTTTGGTATATATTTAATTAGGAGTATAAAGAGACAGAATATAGATGGACAGACTGGGCGTTTAAGTTTTAATGAGGAAGGTGATAGACTGAACCCCATGTACTGGATCAAGAATGTCCATCCTGCAGGAACCGTTGTTGTAGGTTACCATGGTAACAGACAAGGCACAGAGGAAAAAAAGTTATCCTTTGGCAACACACCGATTGAGTGGCCATCTGGTGATACAAAGAAACCTAAAGGAATCAAAATTTCAACACATTTAAGAGTAAGTTTATGCATGAAATGGATATTACATTAATAGAAAATGAAAGAAAAACACATCAGAATGGTATAAAATTCTGGTAAAATGAGGTATTATATAAGTTTTGATTTTTTTTGCCAGTGGTATTTTAGAGCATCTGGACATCTGTAGTCCTGCCTACTTTTTCTGATTTTGATAACATTTTATAATAAAAATTGTACAACAATTTAAAGGATCTTCACTGAGGTACAGAATATACTCAGAATAAAAATGAATTCGATATTTAGAGTGATTCTTAGCCAAATTTCAGCTAAAAACATTTAAATGCTTTCATTTTTATGTCATTTAGCACAGTAAAAATGATAATACACAGTGAGAGATTGATCTGTCTGAAATTTTGAATATAAATCTACAGGGAATGGTATAAATATTTAAAAAAAAAAGTATTTCCAAATTTGTCATGTCATAGACGTCAGTGGAGTCCCTTTAATGGAGATTTTTGACATGAAATATTTCATTTGATGTAGGTCTATCCCAATATATTTTGTGCAAAATTTTAGATAATTGGGTTGCCTATCTTTCTATTTTAAGTGCCCCAGTTGATCTCTGTAAGTTATTCAAATTTAATGTTTTTAGGCTTTTTGAGCTTCAAGTTCAGTTCCTTTAATATTTTATGTTGCCTAAAAAATGCGGTCATGCCAAGGTATCTCTTGATCATCTTGTATTTGATGTTAATGATATTATATTTCTTTATGATGTTGTAAGTATTATCCCTTAAACTGCTATAACGGATCTGTCCAGCCTTGAATTTGAAACAGTCCATTGAAAGTTCAAGGGATTTCAGTATCAAAATACAAAAAATGATCTACCAACAGTATAGAGCCTGGTCAGACTGCCTGGATGTGCAGGCTGGCCTGGCTCTATACTGGTGGCAAAGTCTGATCACTTGGTTCCAGCAGGTTAAGGGTAATTATGTTGCTGTCTGTCTGTCTGTCCCAGGTTATCACTATAGAAGCCAAGCCGTTTGTGTATCAGGAGCCAATCGTGAATGGCGACATGAGGAAGTGTAATCAGGAGGAAGGGATATTGTGTAAACATTACAACACTACAACACGTAAGTCTATATATAGCCAGCGCTGGTATTTTATTTGAGAAAATTTATAGCTAGTTTTGGCAATCACTTTAACCCTTTACCATCCTATATATTTTAAATGGACTAGGACCATATTTCAGTGTGGACAAACCCATTGATCATGTTTAGTGCAAATTTTAAAATAAGTTCTCCCATAATAAGTTCTCCCATAATAAGTTCCCCCAGAATAAGTTCTCCCAAAATAGCCACACCGCGTCTGTGGTCAAGGGGTTACAGTCGATGACTTCTAATCCAGTTACCTCTCTGGCTAGGGTTCAATCCCTGGGAGATGCTTTTGTAGTTTAGCGCGGAGGAAGGTAGTCTAGTACTAGTGTAACTCTCCAGGAATGATGGTTAGGAAACTACCCGCCTATTTGACTGAAATACTGTTGGGAAAAGGTGTAAAATGAAATAAGCAAACAAATCCCAGAATAGCCAGTAATGCAGACCCTGATCAGATGGCACTGACATTCTGGGTAATCCTGGTCTGCATGTGCCACATGGGTTGCATATGTTTTTGCCCAGCAGGCTAACAGATCATCCGATTTAGAGTCTGTATAGGAAAGATATTGAGATATAGCTCTTGCCACACAAAACATTTTTTTATCTCAATAATACAGATGATGTTTACACATCTGTAAAAGATGCGATTATAACATTTGTTAGAGATATAGGTGCTAAATTCATTTTAAAATGACTTTTCATATAATTTTTTTTGTCTGGATAAATATTGTATTGTGTAATTGCCAAATAATCTGTTTCTTTTTCTTTGTTATGTGTAGAGATTGAAACAGAACATTGTTGCTATGGATACTGTATGAAGATGCTTCAGATGTTAGCAGCTAAAGTCAACTTTACATATGACCTGTACCTTAGTTCAAATGATTCATTCGGATCCTTTAAAAGGGTAAGGCATGTCTTTTTTTCCCCAAATTTTTTATCAGTGACTTTCAGACCATCCATCTGATAGTGGTGTATCATATATGGATGTTAATTTCTGCATGCATATATGATGGGAGGTTATTGGAAGAAAAGTTTTTCTAAAATTTTCACAACCATGCACAGGGGGAGGTAGGGCATATTTCCCCCTTTAAAACCCCTAAATTTGTTTTTTTGTATATGTGGCTAAGTGCATAAGGTCACTGCCTTCTAATCCCATAACACTCATCACTTTAGGTTCATATAATCTTGCCATGATCTTTGGATTCTTTCAATTGGATAAGTTATCAATTAAGAGTATAGAAGGGTAATGCTCAACTCAGATTCCTGTTTGTGCCAGAAATAATGAATAGGGCTGCACATGACATCTTTCTACAACTTTATAGCTGGATATTTACAGCATTGGAGTGAGTTAAGTCTTATCAACTCATTATCACATACTGGTTGTCTTAAATGTTCGTGTCCATTTTTCAATCTGGACTAAACATCATTTTTAGTGACTATGTAAAAAATATGTACTGACTGAATAGCTAACAATGCAGACCATGATTAGACTGCCTACTTACCTTGGTTCACACAAGTCACTTGTCCAGTAGGCTAAATGTTAAAAAAGAACAAAAAAGAAACAAGTATAATGATAAATAAAAATTTTGATATTCTTAGATACAGTCGACTCCACTTATAACAAACTGCCTAATAACGAATTATCGTTAATAGCAAACTAACTCTCCGACATTCCTGGCCGATTCATTCTTTGTTTTATATCAAATCACATCCCTTTATAAGTACTCACTTTAAATGAATTTTTGGTTAATATAACGAACCATTTTTTTCAAGTCCCAAACAGAGAAAAACATGTAAATTTCCTCAGTTAAAACAAACTATTATAATTGAAATATCGGGATGCACTCGATTAAGATCAGTACATGAATTTCGCTATCTGATAATTATTCAATCAAGTGATTGCACAGGTAAGTTATGGCTTCAGGGAATAAAGATTTTGATTAAAAGTTCTCACAACATAATTTCCTACTTGTTACGGAAAATTTGTATTCCACACCTTCAGCTGATAAATTGCTGTAAATACCCGATATTTATCAACTAATCGATTTTTGTTTGCAATATTAACCAAACAATAACAAACAAATAGCACAAGAATACAAATGGTAAGCACTTTATAGACAAGTACTACATGTCTAAATACATGTACCATGTACATAAAATATTTTTCAATAAAATGCCTGCATTTAATTACCGCTGTCGTAAAATACCGATTACACAGGTAACCAGTAACAGGTATGGATTTTTCACGGCAAATTTACCCGTTTCGCTTTTCTCGAAATTTGGATATAACAAACGATATTTAAATGTCCCATTGAGTTTGTTATAAGCGGAGTCAACTGTATATCTTATACAAAACATACCTGAATATTTGAAAGTTTTGTTATATTAATACACAATTATGTTACAGGTAAATAATGGAACAAAGAAAGAATGGACAGGTATGGTTGGTGAACTGGTCAATGAGCAAGCTGATCTGGTTGTTGCCCCACTTACTATCAACCCTGAGAGGGCCCAAGCTATAGACTTCTCTAAACCATTCAAATATCAAGGTCTTACTATTCTTGTGAAAAAGGTAAACCAATATACTCAATGTTTCCAAGTTTAATTTGTACTGAATCCTCTGGCCCATATAAATCATTTGTACAGCATATAATAACAGCATATGAAAGTTGACAAGAAGATGAAATACATGTCAAACATACATGTATAATTATAATACAGTTGTTATACAGATGAAATTACTTTTGCTTATAGTTGTGAATAATTAAATTTTTGACTGATTAATGAAATTGCATCTAACATTATCTAAATGATATTTATACATTGCAATCTTGAACAATGTCTCTGTATCTTGACAGAAGTTTTAATATTTCTATAATATTTTTATTTTTTTCTCTCCAATATATTTGGTATGTATTTGATTCAGTCAAGGGTTTTCAATGTTGACTCAGTTAAGTGGTTATGACTTAAATCACTCCTCTCATTACCTCTGTAGGTTTGAATCTTGATGAAGTTATCTGGCTACATGTAGCTTAAGAAAAGGTCAGTGGTTCTTCTGAAGTGCATCAGAGTGATTATTTGTTGTTTGAATGTTGGTATATGACCATTATTGTATCAATATAGCATAAAAAATAGCCTTTATATAAATTGACTGTATTTTGAAAGCATAAAAATCATGCTTAAAATTGAATGATGGCTTAAAATAGTTTATTAAGTAGATTATAGATTTCAAAGTCTGATTTAAGACATTTGCTTTAGGAATTTTGATTCAAGTTTATGTGCTACTTCAGATATGGTTTATACAGAACTTAATTTTATTTTGATAATGTATGAATCTTAAAGCTTATGGACACACCCTGAATCCTTTCCTGGAACCAATAGGTACTGAGCAATGAGTGTTAAGTTTCTTGCTCAAGGAAACAACAGCTTGCCCCTGACAGGGTTTGAACCCACACAGACAGCGATTCTTAGATTACTGTTCTTACGCGTTAACCAAATTCAAAGTCTAAAATAGTGTTTTTAAGACAGGGTTTTGTTTTGAAATATTGTCACAAATTGCTTACATTACATAATTGATACCAGTGGAAAAATACTCTTTGCTAATGAAGTTAATTGAACATGCTGTATAAATTTCTTCTCGCAGGAACAAAAAGATTCCAGCTTGGCATCCTTCTTACAACCATTCCAGGATACTTTGTGGATTCTAGTTGGTCTGTCAGTGCATGTAATTGCTCTAGTGTTATACCTACTGGACAGGTTTAGTCCATTTGGTCGCTTCAAGCTCGCCAAGAATGATGACACAGAAGAAGATGCCCTTAATCTATCCAGCGCTATGTGGTTTGCCTGGGGTGTACTTCTCAACAGTGGTATAGGAGAAGGTATGTTAAGTTTTAACCCTTATAGTATTAATATTAGTATAAGCTGCTAATAATAACTTTCCCATGACACTGGTATAGAGGCAAATCAGCTTGTGCAGTTTTACCTGATGCCATTACTGTTGGCTGTTTCCTTTATTACTTTTTTACTGAAATGTCTTTAACTAGAAGTCGGTTTGTCCAAATTTTATCCTTAATGTGCAGAAATTCTAAAATAGACTTGTCTAGTGACCATTTTGGAACTGTCCATTATCAGTTTTTGGGCATATCAAGATGAAAAGTTTGTCAACAAAAAGTAAATAGCCATGTCAGACTGCACACCAGGTATAGGTCAGACTGTACAGGTGTGCAGGCTCACAAAGGTTAATCACTTGGTATTAGCAGGTTAAGAATTAATTAAGTAGCTTCCATTAAAAAACAAACAAAAAAAAACAACAAAAAACACAAAAAAACAACAGCACAGTAAATGTATCAGTTTTAAGTCTTATAACCAGTTCTTTTGTTAGGAAAAATAAACTTTCCATTATTTCTCTGTATAAGTTGTCTACCTTTTACTACAGATGCTGAAAGTTTGGTGATGCAATTGCTTATAGAGATTGATACGATAATTTTCAACAGCACTAGAATACATTTCAAATGGAGAAATTAATAACTACAATTAACAAATTATATACTACAATTAACTGAAATTCCAGTTTAAAACCTCCTGTAATAGATCTATGTCAATTTGCAATAAAAAGTTGGTATTATATGTTATGTACGAAAGAACCAATTTCATTAGTACCATTTATCATTTATACTAATACAGATTACTGCTTAAGTAGGCAATACTCCATGGTTTAGAAGTGTTTCCCGATACTTATCTCTTTAACTATAAAAGTACAGTTGACTCTCAATAAGTCAAAATCGCTTTACTCAAAATTCCGCCTTAGTCGAATAATTTCTAAAGTCCCGTCAAATGTCCTTCTTTATATTTGTATTTTAACTCCGCTTAGGTCAAATTTTGACTTACCGAGACTCCTGTTTAGTCGAAAAGAAAATTTGGTCCCGTCAATTAAAGTCCACATATTTTCATCTCAATTAGTCGAAGTGTGAAAACAGCCGACTGATCAAAGGTTGGCGACATCAAGGTGAGATGTTGTCACTTGTGATTTACACGTTTCATAGTAATTTTAATTGCCGGTCATCATGTATTATTAACACGTCGTAAAAGTGTCTTTAATCCGTTTCACGACTTAATTGGTTTTAACAGTTAGATAACTAAATTAAAATTTAATTACATTTCTTTAAAAAAGTTTACTCGTGCCAGTCTGACGGGTGTTAGTCAAATTACAGTTTAGTCAAATAACAGCCTAGGTATTGATGTGTATTATCAACGTAAATGATATTTGTATAATTAATGTTCCGTCATATTGCATACATTAATTTGTACTTCCGATTCACGATAGTTGCTAATTTCGTTTTCGTCCGATGATCAATTAAATCAAATATAATTGTGTGTTTATGTTTCACTATTAATATACATGTATTAAATTTTGAATGATATATTTTTGTTCATTTATAATTTGTAGTTGAAAGTGATTTACCGTCATTTCAATGGTTAAATATTGCAGCATTGCCGCTAACAACAATAAGAAACCTACTTCTTTGCACATTCAATCAGGTACATGTATATACATATACGAAGTCAACGTAATGGCGGTAGTTCCACGTTACTCGAATTCCGTTTCTCTCGAAGTAAAATACCTAGTCCCTTGGATTTCGAGTTACCGAGAGTCAACTGTATATATTTTGTTGTAAGACATTCCAAGTTTAAGTCAATTTGGCACTTTTCCAAACTTTTTATAAGAGAAATGCCAATTTTTGCCTTCTGGTACTACTGTAAAATCATTATTATTCGTGGGGCACGAATTTTCGTGGTTTTCGTGGGTAGGTCAATCCACGAATTTAAGATCCGACGAACATTTATCCCAACTAACCGGCGAACATTTATCTCAACAAATACTTCTTACCCTGTCTCTGTTCTGTATATTACAAACATGCGTCGGCTCTTTTCCGGTCGATATTTCGTGAAATGGATGTAAATACAGACAGATAATCAGGTTAGTGACAAATTAAATCCGTTTGCAATATTTAAGAAACTTGAAAGAAAACTCGATTATATGTCCTCAATTTACTGTCACAAAATATAATGTCACATCTACACACTTGATCGTTGTACACATAGTCTACTAGGACTTGATTGTGTTAACAAAAATACTTGACATAATCGAGTAAATATGGGAACCCAGACAATGCAATAATTAGCGCTATTAAAAAATTGTCAGTTTGCTTTTATTAATTTAAAAAGGTCTTTGATATTATTGTCGTAAGTACACAAAATTATAAAAAAATACGATCGCTAAAACAGATTTATTGTACATTCTTTTGTCATTTTTAAATGATCCAGTTTAAATGATTTTTTATCTGTATTTGTGCGAATGCTATTCCGTAAACATCAAAGACGCCACCGTCTTTTACAAGATCCACACATACTCGTGTTATTTACAGAGATTAATTTATATGCATGTAAATTTACACAGTCGCTGTGACGTTGCGTGTAGTTACTGTCAAATATGTTATGACCATTTCAGGGTGTAAACTTTTAAACTCGCTGGTTAAAACCTGTCAGGTGTCGTATAAATTATGCAATGTTTACATCGGCGAATTACAGGGGCAGTGTGTCCAATGGAGGTGCATATCGTGTCACATAAATGTGTTAATTGCAGTCAATTATCGGCAGTAACTGTGCTACATGTATATTAGAGTTATTGCCAGAGGCAAGGATTAAATTTATTGACAAGCACTGTGTAACAAGTAAAGATGTGTACTGTACATGTTTAAGTAAAGATATTCGGCGATTAAGTTTTAAGATTACTTTGCATTAGGTTACTGAATTTTATTTTTAACAGGAAAACGAAAATCTACGAATTTATGAACCCACGAAAATGCCTGTTTTGATAAAACCACGAAATTTCATGCCCACGAATATAAGTGAATTCGCAGTATTTACTTTCCAGTCAGGAAAATCATCACTTCAGGACATGCCTATTATAGCTTCATATTTATTAAAGAAACTTACGCTACTCTTATGCCATAGTTTATTTTCTTTTTCCCAGGCTATCTTAATAGCATTCTCACATGAAACTGTTCTGTAGTCTATTGATTTAATAACAGGCCTGAAATTTTTCGTTACTTTGATAGCATTTATACATTTGTATCTCATAGACCCCTTGTACAATGTACAGCCAGACAAAACAATTTGACAAGTAGCTTCTTTGTACTGTGTCTGTTAAATTATAGATATATTGTAGACATACCACTTGTAAACAGACAAGATGAATGTTACAATCAATTATGGGTGATATATTATTTAGCACTTGAGACAGACAGTGAAATACTGAACATTGTATAGGACATAATGCTTACGTTTGTTTAAGCAAGGATACACTTTATCTCTTCTTAACACTTAACATGCTGAATTTCCTAAATGGCCTAGCATATATATTTGGAACTATTATCAATATTGAGGAAATCAATATGATATATTTTAAATAAGTATCCAAATAGTATAGGACTTCAATACTGGTGGGACTGCATGTATACGCAGGTAGGCCAGGCTTTATACTGGCGACAAAGGCATATTATACTTGGTTCCAGTAGGTTGAAGAATGATTATATAACATCACCTAAAGTGTAGGGCTTTAATATGTTCATATGGCAAGGGGTGTAGTGGTCAAGGTCACTGATTTGAAACCACTTGCTCCTTACCGCTGTGGATTTGAATCCCATCAGGGACCTCAGTTTCTTTCATGTGAGGAAGCTATCCTTTTAGCTTATGGAGTGATGGTTGTTCTAATAAGGTGCCAGCTTGTGCCTGAAATAATGCACAGAGGGGCATTGTGAGGCCATCCTCCACCAGTAACGTTTGGAAGTTTCCATATGTCCTTTACAGTGATGGTGTGACTTTAAATCTAACCCAACAATAAAAAAGGGAATTAAAACATTGTATTGAGGGAAAGTTTACCATTTTAGGGATAGTCTTTTATATGATTCATAATTAAATCAGTTAAAGCTGTGTTATACATACGTTCCAAGTTTTCATCATAGGTTCTAAATATTTTCAAGGAATGCATAGTTTAAAATGAATTGAGCATTTATTACAAGTAATTTGGTTTATACAGAGTTTATTTTAGTTTCATTGTGTAGGAAGCTATAAGCTTAAAGACACACTGTCAAATCTGTTCCTGGAACCAACCAGTATTGAGGAATTAATGTAAAGTTTCTTGCACAAGGAAACATCGACTTAACCTAATGAGGTTTAAACCTATGCGGCTAACCATTAATTTGTTTCATATTATTTACAGTAAAAAAAACTTTACATTCATTGTTCAGGAATATATTCGAGAAGGCTCCTGTAAGCTTATAGATTCCTACTTATAAATAAATTCTGTATAATTGATTTAAAGCAAAAAAACAAGCAATATACTGTTATGGTAATATTTAAAAAAAAAAAATTTATTATGTAAAAAATTGTTTGCTTATGTTTTGTATACCTTTAAGTGCGGCTGATATTTTGCTAGATAAAAAATCCAATTATGAATATGTTATATAAGGTAAATAGTAATTACTGACATTAATTTTCAAATTTTAAACTTGTTTCCACACTTTTATGTACTAGAGATATTACCAATTAAATCTTGGAAATTAATAAGAGGAAAAATTTGATTAGGTAAGCAATCTAGTAGATGAAAAGATCAATTTAATCAAGATCTGCAGACAAAATTTTGGTGCAAAAATCAAGTTGCATACATAAATCAAAGTCGAAATGTTAGTCTTAAAGAATATTGATAAGTTTTAGGATTATGATGGAGTTTGGGTCTGACTCGTACCAATTTCGATGTGTGTAATTCTTTCCGGACAAAGACAATTTTAAAAGTAATTCATTTAGCAGACACATTGACAGTTATGTAGATTTAATTTATGAGAACATGCCTAGACATATTTACAGTGCCATTCATTACATTGATTAAGTAGACCTTTTGTAGGTTCAGATGTGTTGTGTTTACTTTGTTTGTCTGGTTTTCACTTAAAAATGTATTAATTTCAATTTAATGAAAAAAAAAAGATTGTAAAGATGTTTAGAAAAATGTTTTTTTTCTGTGTTAAGGAACCCCAAGAAGTTTCAGTGCACGTGTACTTGGAATGGTATGGGCAGGATTTGCTATGATCATTGTAGCTTCTTACACAGCTAACCTGGCAGCTTTCCTTGTGTTAGATAGGCCAGATGCTTCTATATCTGGTATTGATGATTCTAGAGTAAGTATATACTAGACAAAGGCAGGGTTTTCATTCTTATCTGAGGCAACTGATGTGCCAAAAAAAACAACCAATTTTGCTATGGATCAATGATCATATTTTAACGTAAAGTCTGAAAAAACAATAAATTTTAACAGCATTTTAACAGATGATACGGATTGCCAATAACGAAAACTCTGCAAAATTGGCATTTATTGTGTAAAATTTAAAAAATATTGATTATGTCAACTTTTGTATTATTTGTTTTGAAATTTTGATCATTATCTGTGTATCACTTGATTAAAGATAATTTGTTAATTACCTTATAAACATGACTGTAGTCTTATTAATGAAAATTATTTGATTCTTGCATAACACTTAGAAATTGGCTATCCATGGCTAAATATAAGTTAAGGTCCCTGACTACAAATCACTTATACCTTTCCAATGGTGAGGTAGGCCAAAGGAATTACATATAATACAACATACAGTATATGTTATTGAAATACCTTTAGTATGCTTTAAAATGATAATTTCACATAACTGATGGATAAGAGAGTAGGACATCATAAATGAAGATAATAAATTAAAATAAGTTAACAAATTAGAATATCTGTTATAATTTTTTTTTCCGACCTTAAAATTTTTGGCTGCAAGATAAAGAACAACTTTGAGAGTAAGACATTTAAAGGAGAAAAATAAGCACACAGCGAGTATTTTCTAATTTAACCAGCATTAAAGTGTGATGTAATTGATTTCTTGCAGCTGCGCAACCCCAATGAGAATTTCCGTTATGCCACGGTGAAAGATAGTGCTGTTGAGATGTACTTTAAGCGTCAGGTTGAATTGTCTACCATGTACCGTAAGATGGAGGAATATAATTACAACAATGCTGATGATGCTATCAATGATGTTAAAGAAGGGTAAGATAGGGCCTCTGTTTTGGCCGCTTTTTGTTATTTGTTGTTATATGGCCATATTTTGAAACATTTGGTTTTTTGTGGTCCCATTCTGTTATTATATGGCTAATTGTTGTTGTTACTATATGGCCATATGTTGTTGGTATTTTATGGATATATGCTGTTATTATTATATGGCTATGTGTTGTTGTTATTATTATAAGCCTATATGTTGTATGTTGTTGATATTATATGGCTACATGGTGTTGTTATTATATGGCCATTATTTATGGTGTTTTTTATGGTGTTGTTATTGTATGGCCATCTGTTGTTATTATTATAGGGTCATATTTTGTTATTTAATAACCACAATATTGTTCTCATATGACCACATTTTTAAAATAAATTACCATATATTGTTATTTTGTTAAGTTTTAAACTTAAACAGTTTGCTTGATGCATATTTGTTCATGATAAATATACTTGAAAATATTTTTTCTCATTAATAAGTGATAAACTTCAAGTGTTTTGCAAGTTGCGGTAAGTTACATTAGAAAAATATCTGTCTGATATTTTTCATTCTGACTTGCAGAAAAATGTCACATTGATTGAGATCATTCATATCTCTCAGATATCTTTTTGCATTAAGTATATTAGGTAGTTCAATTTTCATAACAAAATAGAATTTATGCACTGTGAAATGAGAATTTATTCACTGTGTACTCTTAGAAAAATTAAAGTAATTAAATTGATTTATTCATTATATATCTCTAATTTTTGGATCAAGTTCTAGCCTTCATTTGAGACATTGATTAATTCATTATATATCTTTGATAACAGAATCAAGCTTCAAGCCTTCATTTGGGACTCGTCTCGTCTCGAATACGAGGATGCCCGTCACTGTGACCTTGTCGTGGCAGGAGAGTTGTTTGGGAGATCTGGGCTCGGTGTGGGACTGAGGAAAGGAAGTCCATGGACACACCCTATTTCATTGGCCATCTTAGAGTTACATGAAGGGGGAGATATGGAGAAGCTTGATAATAAATGGATTTTGATTGAGAGTACAGATTGTCCAGAGAGAGACCATACCCCGGCTACCCTAGGACTGACAAACATGGCTGGTAAGCTGATTTAAATTCACCCTGTCTGGGCCCATTTTCATTATCATCATGAAGTTTTAATTGAATGTAAAAATTATACTTAACTTTTTTATTTTTCATATTTTGTTTCATTCTATATTGATACTTTTTTCTGATATCTGTTACTTTGCTTTAGGGTGCAGTTTTTATTACAATTTCAAACATATTAAGGAAGAATATGCAAAACTGAAATTCAAAGCTTTATGACCTAAATCTTGAATTTGTGTTTATATATTCCAAAAAATTACATCCATAGGACTGCAAAATGGGTGTAATACAACTCATCAGTTTGTTATTGACAAACCTTTATATAAAAATTGTGAATGATATATTTTAGGAGTGTTTATGATGGTTGCTGGAGGGATAGTTGCTGGAGTGTTCCTTATCTTTGTGGAGATTCTCTATAAGAGACATCGGGGCTTGAAAGAGAAGGAGCTAGAGCTGGCTAGAAATGCTGCTGATAGATGGAGGGGAAATATTGCTGTAAGTTTTATATTAATATCATATTGATTGAAGGTCTACAAAAAAATAGTTCTGGCTATCTAATCTCTTTAAATTCTTGAATTGTTAACAAAATTAATGTTTTTGCATTCCTAAAAATTAAAAAAAATTTTTTTTAAAGAAATTTAGTAACACCTGATTTTAATATAATCCACAGAAACAGAATCTTGTATATTTAAGTATAGAAAAAAACAAAACTTTTGCGATTTAAATCAATCTTTATAGAATTTTACAATTTCAATGTTCTATCATATCCAAGTTTTTATTTCAAAATGTTTATAAACATTAGTAGCTGGAAAGTTATTTAAGATTTTAATGTCTTGTAAATTTCCATTTCTAGAATTGTTTTTTCATAATATTGTCTTATTTGTTTGAATGATGCTAATGATTTAGTATTGTCTGAATGTTTGTAGTTTGTGAGTAATTTATTGTACAGTATAATATTTGCATGTATACTGCATGTAACTCAATAGATAAGTCATACCTCTACATATGCTGTTTGTCTCAATAACAAAATGGTAACCTGAAAACAACTTGACAATATCTCCATGAAAATTTATGATAATATGTTAATCTAATCCTGATTGAAATAAATATATTTAGGAAGTTCCAGAACTTGTATTCTACTTTTTAGCTCACCTGTCACAAAGTGACAGGGTGAGCTTTTGTGATCGCTTTTCGTCCGTCCGTCGTCCGTTGCCGTCCGTCGTCCGTCCATAAACTTTTACTTTAAATGACATCTCCTCATAAACCACTAAGCCAATTTCATCCAAACTTCACAGGAATGTTCCTTTGGTGGTCACCTTTAAAAATTGTTCAAAGAATTTAATTCCATGCAGAACTCTGGTTGCCATGGCAACCGAAAGAAAAAACTTTAAATATCTTCTTTTAAAAAACCCTAAGAGCTAGAGCTTAGATATTTGGCATGAAACATCTTCTAGTGAGTGTCTACCAAGTTTGTTCAAATAAAAGCCCTGGAGTCAAAATTGGCCCCGCCCCAGGGGGTCTTTGATTTTCCCTATATTCATATAGTAAAAACTTAAAATATCTTCTTTTAAAGAACCCAAAGAGCAAGAGCTTAGATATTTGGCATGAAACGTCTTCTAGTGAGTGTCTACCAAGTTTGTTCAAATAAAAGCCCTGGGGTCAAAATTGGCCCTGCCCCGACCCGGGTGATGTTGATTTTCCTTATATTTGTATAGCAAAAACTTAAAAATCTTCTTTGAAAAAACCCAAATAGCTAGAGTTTAGATATTAAGCATAAAACATCTTCTAGTAATTGTCTACTAAGTTTGTTCAAATAAAAGCCCTGGGGTCAAAATTGGCCCCGCCCCAGGGGTGTCATTGGTTTTAACTATATGTGTATAGTAAAAACTTAAAAAATCTTCTTTTGAAAAAACCCAAAGAGCTAGAGCTTAGATGTTTAGCATGAAACATCTTCAAGATTATGGGTGTCTACCAAGTTTGTTCAAATATAAGCCCTTGGGTTAAAATTGGCCCTGCCCGGGGGGGGGGGGGGTAGTGGAAGGAGGGGGGTAGATCATTGTTTTTCATTATATGTGTGTAGTAAAAACTTAACATCGTGAAACATCTTCTAATGGGTGTCTTCCAAGTTTGTTCAAATAAAAGCCCTGGGGTTTAAACTGGCCCCGCTCCGGGTGCCTTTATACAGGTGAGCGACCTCAGGGCCATCATGGCCCTCTTGTTTCTCCTTATTGTAACAATTTGATATTAATAAAGACAGTAAGAGAATTGGTTTTGTTAAAAATGGTCAAAAAGCAATATGTTTACTGTATGGAATTTTTGACTAAAAGACTTTTTTCATGTTTTTCAACTTAAATTTTAAGTTAAATAATAATCATTCAGTATTTTGTTAGCCTTTTTTCTTGACTGATGCAGTTTTTTTTAAGGAAAACAGAAAATAGATGGAATAACTGCAGGGATATGACCAAAAGTGAGTTAAAGTTGGCATCAAAATCAATAATAAAAAAGCATTAAAATATAACAAACAACACAAATAATATGCAAAGGCATAATATGTCATTCTAAGTTTTCACTTATTTTTCATAATTTGTGTATGAAAAAGCTCTAACAGTCTACTTAACAGTAATATTTCTTCCTCACAACCCTAAAAATCTGGTAGAAGGAAGAAAATAACAGTATGACCCATGCTTTTGTGTTTTTTAAATGTAAGACACATATGCTTTTCCTGCAACCAGTAATACTCAGCCATACATATGCTAATAGCATGATCTAGTGAAAATAGTGTAGGGTTATAGCATTCAACTGTAGATCCTGAAGTCTTAGTGTTTGAATTTTATGAGTGATGAGACTCTCTTTCAGCTTCTTCAATTAACACTGGTGCGATAATTGTTGAGGACACCTGTAAAACAGTCTCAAAGCATGTCTTGGTTCCAAATTAGGGGTAATTGGCATTAATTAGAAAATAAAAAACAAACATAGCATAAGTTAACACTGACTATTCAGTGCCTTGTCTTAAAGCTGCACACCTCCAGATGATCCAAACTATTTCAAGAAAATCAAACTTAAGAAAAATGTATCAAGATTTTAAGAAAAGTTAAATGATACAAAAATCAAGTAATAATTTACATGTTATGTGCGAATAATGACTGATTTAACAATATTTATCACCACAATTCTATTGCTTGACTTATGCAGTTTTGGCTATTTTTGCATATTTTGACCTTTATTTTGCAGTTTACATGGATTGTAAGTGCTGTTTGTAATGTGTAAATTGCCCTTTTTTTTAGTTCAATATTTTACTTCAAAATATATTTTCAAACTTATCATGAAAATTAACATGAATCTGGAGGCGTGCTGTTTTTAGAGAAATAATAATACTCTCTCCCATTCTGCAAATATCACGATATTTGAAATTGATTAACTCTAATAGCATGACCTATGCAGTTATATAGCATCATATTGCAGGATGTATCTTTGTGTCTGCACATCCTGATGATTAACTCAATAACTGCAATTAACCATCTGCTTGCCTAATTTACATCTTACCAATTTAGGACTGCTAATTTGCATCTGCGAACAAAAATTAGAACAGAATTCTAACAAAATTACCAATTAAACTAATGAGATCTGGTAATGTCTTTACTGAACTGCCTAATCATTTCAGAAAAAGAAACATTTAAGAGAGTCTTGGGCATTCCTGAGGGCTATTAAAGAAGAGCAGCAGAAAAAAGAGCCACAGACCGTCTAATTTACTTCTTTCTCCGAGAAGAAAATAATGACCTAGGACGGAAGATTTATGATCCTCTGTTATAAACTCTATTTTATATTCTCATGAGTAATTGTGTTTTTTTTTCTGGTTTAATTCTTGCTTTTATATTATGAGCATATAGGGTGTAAAAGCTTCTTTATGTTTCCACTTATTTAACTCATCCATGTTGTGTTGAATTAAACTATGAACACAGTTACGGTTAGATTCGAATTTGGAACAGTCCGTTCAATGTTTTAGGGATTTTATTTACAGAATACAAAAATCAAGATATCAGTATTATAAAGTTTGGTCAGACTGCATGATTACATGTTGTAAAATTTTTATCATTTTGGGTTTCAGCAGGTTAAGGTAGGGCTTCACGCTTTGTTATGGACACCTAGCTTTTAAAATAATGATACATCAATGACTGTTTTATATTGCTTTATACAAATATTTGCATATCATGTTGTTTTTTTTTTTAAATATTTTTCACACATATCCCTTATCCTAGTCCATTTCCTTTTATTTAAAAGTCAGGACTTTAAACTTTCTGTCAGAAAAGTATTTTATATTTTACTTTATTATTTATTTATTTTAAATGAGACTAAGAGTTCCTTTGTAGCCAAAATTAAATATACATATTAAATTTTTTCTACCCCGAATTAAATATATTTCTTAAACTGTTTAAATGAATCATATTGGTTTTTATTTTATGCCTTTTTCACATAAAAACAGTGCCTTTCAAGTAAATATAAGCTGATCTAAACTTATGTCATTATGACACATTTTTTCTTGGAGGATAGAATAAGCATTTTAATTGTCAACAAAGATCTTATAAATTTTTCACCATTTTCAACATGAATATAAGGCATGAAAAAAAAATAAAGGTTGTTGAATTTTGATAATATATATCGATGCCTTGGTGCGAAAGGGTTGTAACTCAATATTTTGAAATTATTCAGGAGAGACAAAAAACTTATTTATTCTTTTACATTCTAATAAATACTTCTTTAATTTTGTTTTTTGGCTTTCATTCATTTACTGATATATAATTGATTGGAAAGGTTATTTTATTTTGTCAGCATAAAGAGATAATTGATAAAGTTTCAGTTACAACCCTTTCGCACCAAAAAAATAAAAAAATTCAAAAAATGATTTGGTGCGAAAGGGTTGTAACTAAATTTTTGCTTTAAATTCTGATAAATGTAATGGGTCAAATGAACAGATCCAAGCTTAGTTGTGTTTAGTATGAACTAATTAAACATATTGCCTGGATATTTGCCTGGATATTTCAGTGAAAAACCTTCAAATTTTATGTTTTTAAAATAAAACTTCAGTCAAATGATTTTTTTTTAAGAAATTCACTTTATATATAATATTTTTTTCCATGTGACACACAGTTCTGATTGTCAAACCCATCATAAGTACCAAATATGCATTAACATGTATGTTATTGCAAGAATCAAAGGTAAATTTTCCCAATTCAAAATGTAAACTTACATAATGACAAAATTACCATCTAAGACACATTTATTTTTGTTAATATAAGCCTTTAGAAAGTGAGAATACTCGCATTTTATTTTAAATCTATTCTATACATAGGCTTTTCTTATTTTGAAAACTTTTGATAATTCCTAGGATGTGCTTTTGTGTACAAAATCTTTATATTTTAGCAATATCCAGGATTGTCTTTACTATTAAGCCAAAAGTATGAGAAAGATGATAATAGATGTTCTAAGCTTCTAAGCTC